CCCGCAGTACGCCTACTTCAGAATGGGGGTCCAGCAGAAGGAGATGGTGAAGGCTCGGCTCTTCCAAATGCCCTTTGCCGAGCTCCGGAATCGCCACATCTTCCTGGAGCGCCGGGGGCTCTACGAGACCCCACACAAAGGACAGACCCAAATTAGTAACCCAAAACTGAAGGACATCCTGCAGCTCCCGGAGAAAGACTTCCTGGCCAGCCTGGCCTACTCTACCCCAGAGGAGTTTGAAGTCTTCAAGAAGCTGCTGGCTCGAGAGGAGGAGGAGAAGGAGGAAGAGGAGGATGAGGATGAGGATGCACTGTACACAGAGGATGATGATGATGATGATTTGGACAGAGATGAAAGTAAAACAGCCCGGGAGTGAGGAGGTGAGGCTGCGAGGTGCCAGCCCTGCCCTGCTGCTGCACTCACACTGGGGGCTTGGGCTCACACCCCACACCAGCACAAGCTGGGGTGGGTGCAGGGCCCCATGGGTGGGGTTCCAATAAATCCCATCTGTCAAATACAACAGCACTCATTCCTTGGCCAATTACTTTAAAAAAAAAACAAAACAAAGCAGTTTCCATAAAGTGTTTTTATTTAAAAAAAATCAAACAAAACCCCCTAATTTATTTCCAAGACTAGGTTAAAACCTTCCAGCTGTGGGACAGGAGCTGTGGCTGCTCTGCTGGCTGGCAGTGGGACCAGGCTGCCTGGTGCTGTGGGGACAGGTCCTGTGGCTACAGAACTGCCCCATGGCAGGGCCACCTCCACAGCCCATGTCAGTGCTGATCTCGTGGCTGACAGAGCAGGGGCGCAGATACTTTCAGACCACAGCTCCAAAGTCTCCTGTTTGGGTTTCCCCTTGCCCTGCTCTCCCTGCTGGGGAGGGCTGGCTGCTTCTCGTGCCCTGGGAAGGCAGGGCTGCTGTGCTGCCAGGCAGCTGGAGCAGGCCCAGGCAGCCTTGGAGGGAAACAAGGCCTGTGTGTCCTGTGGGAGCAGAGCTGGAGGTGGTGCAGGAGGGGAGCAGCACACTGGCCAGCTGGTCTTGGCTTCACACTGTCCCTGCCCCCAGGCTGGGCACTGTTAAACTGCTCCAGGAGGAAGAGGGTGGTGGCAGGAGCACTGAAACTCCTGGGCCTGCCCTGCTCTGAGAGCAGCTTCCAAGCTGCTGCTTGAGCCATGTGGCTGAGCAACAGAGCCCTGCTTGGCAGGAGGGGAGGCCCTCCCCACCAGAACAATCCCACTCTGCTGGGGCCATGACACTCTATACCATAACTGTGATATATCTCTGGTATGTGTTAATTTATAATATACACCGTGTACGTTAATACACAAATCTATGTTTAACTAGTGTTGTCATACAAACTCACAAAAACTAGCAACGTTTCTAAGCTACACTTTTTCTTTCCTTGCCTGCCCTGCTGCAGTGCTGGCTGCTGGTCCTCTCCTCCACACAATCCTGCAGCACTGGTGCCACAGGGAAGTGCAGGGCAAGGGGATGGAGTGTGGGGCTGGCTTCCTCACCAAGCCTCTGCTGTGCCCTGCACTGGTGTGGAGGCAACTGCTGGCATGCCTCAGCTGACAGATTTCACCCTACAGATCACATTTTAAATTCTTTTTAGGTGCTCTATTGGTTTCTGAGCTGGAAGTTTGGTTAAAAGCAGGGCTTGTGTACAAAGCAAAGAAAAAAGGCAGGCAGTAGAAGCTGCCTCAGTTTCCCCTGCTAGAACAGAGGGAACAGGAATGCTCCTCTACTGCCCGTGCTCGCCTCACCTCTCGGAGCTGCTCACCATTTCTAACTCATCTACACAGCACGTTTCTGGGGGCCAGATTTCAGGTGATGGCTAAAGCTTTTTGGTCTGCATTTAACTGTTTTATTTGAGGGTTATAGGTAATTTATAACCTTGGATTACGAGAACAGATTGGTGCAGATGCTGTTGGCAAGGGGCTGGGCTGGTCCCTGAGTGAAGCGGGGAGCCCGTGGCTTGTGCAGAGTGGCTGGGGGTGCTGAGCAGGGCTGGCCCCTCAAGGGGCGCTGAGAGGGGGCCAGCAAAGGCAGTGCTGGGCCAGCAGGGGGAAAGGGAGCACTACTCAGTGTGCTGATCCAGCTGCGTGTCCCTAACGGGCCGCAGGAGAGGGAGAGGCTGACACCGGGCAGGAAGTTCAACCCTGCTGTGTTCAACCCAGTGAGCAGATCTGATCTTCCTGGTGTTCAAAAAGCCCTTAGATGTGGAAAGACGAAGCTTCTACTGCTTTAAAACCTGTGGAGGAGCAGGAGTAAAATGAGCTGGTGTTCAGAGTCTGCCAGATAGCCCGCAGCTGGCCTCTGCCCACCCTGTGCACCACCTTGTGCTGAGAGAGGGGCCCTGCTGCCTCCAGGACTCCAGCCTGTGCCTGCTGCTTTTTATGCAGGAATTTCTTGCTCATATGGAGCTGCAGAGCCAGGGGGAAGCAGAGCATTCCCTCCTGCTTCTCCACCCCAGTCACAGCCAGGAGCCCTCACAGCCCCTGGACATGGTGGCATGAGCAGGGTTGTGCCCTGGCCTGCACCTCTCTCCCTGACTCCCTGCATGAGAGCTGCCCCTGCCTGCATCTGGGGAGGGCTGGAGCAGGTACTTACTTCTAGGGCTTCTTCAGTGTGTGACTGTTGCTTGGCTTTCTGCAAGAGAAGGGAGGGCAGCACTGTCAGCCCCATGCCCCATTGCCTCACAGACAAGCACACAGCACTGCCATCCATGCCTTGGTCATGTCTGCACCCCTCAGCAGTCCAGTCCCAGCCTGGGGGTCCCCCTGCATGCTGGGGCACACCAGCCAGCCCCTTCCCCTGCCCAGCACCCCAGCAAGGCTGGCACATCCAGCGTGGGCTGTGGGCTGTACCTGCTGCTTGTCCTCTTGGCAGTGGTGCTCTCACAGCTCTCCTTGTAGCAGATATCCTGGTGTACCTTGTAGACTCTCCTGGACCTGCACACACAGTGGAGATGGTGCTTTCATGAGAGTGAAGGGGAAGTCTGGCTATTTCCCCTATTTCCTTCCAGGCTGCAGTAGCCAACCTTGGCAGGAATGGCAAGATTTTTTCTGCTGTGCTGGAGGACTCAGCAGAAATCCCAGCCTCCATCACAGGGGGGCCTGGGCAGAGCAGAGCCCCCCTGCCCTGGCACTGCACCAGGGCTCCCCCAGCCCTCTGCTCACAGGTGGAGAGGCAGCCAGGGGCTGGATGGGATCTGCTGCTGTCTGGGGGTCACACACACCAAATGCAACCTTGCTGCCACGTGGGTGGGTAACACCAGGATGGGGCTGTCCCTTGGGCCCCACTCTGCCCTGATGCACAGCTGGGGTGGGCACAGGGGCACTCCAGGGTGCTCAGCCTGCACTGGGGAGGGGGCAACTGCCAGCTGGGGCTGGAGACGGCCTTGAGCTCGCTGTCCTTTCCCCAAAGCCGAGCTGCAGGGAGACACCCCAGCTCAGAGCACAGGGGAAGGGGCAGCATCACCTGCAGGCAGTACTCACAGGTAGTGGCAGGTGCCTCCTTCCCACACGGGGAATGCCCTGGTTTCCGAGTACAGCCGCGTGCACGAGTGGGGCACCTTCTTGCAGGCTGCTTGGGGAATAGGAGAGGGGAGCTACCACTGAGCCCATCCCTGGCCCTGCCTGCCTGTGCCTCGGGGCAAGGGTCTGCTGAGGCCCCCCCTGGCCTCAACACAGCTGACCCAGCAGCAGAAGCAGAGCCCCCAGCCTCACACTGCCTACACAACTCCCTGGGTAAGGCAGGGGCCTGGCAGAGAGCTCAGCCAGGAGCAGAGCCCAGCCCCTCTCTCAGCTGCCAGCATGACATGGATCTCCAGCAAAGCCTGGGCACTGTGGGAGCCCCTGGGCGCTGGCAGGGTGTGCTGGGTGACCATGCTAGGGAACATGCTGTGTCAGGGACAGGCAGCAGCCTGGCCCTCGGGCACAGTGTGGCACTCACCCAGCTGGCAGAGCCTGCCCTTGAAGCCCGGGCGGCAGGCACAGTGGTAGGACTCCCCATCTCTGGTACAGCTGCCTCCATTCCTGCAGGGATTCTGGGAGCAGTTCTGCCCCTCTCCTGCAAAACACGCTCCACCATCAGAGCCCGGGGCCACAGCTCAGCCCTGCCAAGGCCCTGGCATTGCCAGGGTGCTCCCAGGAAGAGCAGGTGGGCAGGGGTGCCCTCCAAGGAGGGCAGGCTGGTGCTGAGCAGGTTGCCTGTGGGGCCAGGGCTGGTTCCTGCTGCTGTGGGTCTCCCCCTGGGACTTACTCTTGCTCTTTGCCTCACGCAGCTGCAGTGCCAGACTGTCCCAGCTGGACACCTCTGTGTTCTCCAGCTTCACTGGAGCCTCTGGCTCTGGACAATGAGAGGATTAAATGTCACCTTCCAGGCCAGAGTCAGACCCAAAGGCAGCCCCTCCCAGGGGATCCAGCCTGCCTGCAGCCCTGGGGCACTGCTGAGGCCTGAGGCAGGGCTTTAGCCCTTCCCAGCTGGCATCCCTAGAATTGGGGTGACACTCACTCCTCCTGGAAGGGTTTGGGACACAGAGTCCTGGGCAGAACCAGGATGGGCAGTGAGGCCAAGGGCTGTCCTCAGGTGTGCCAGGCCCCTTCCCCACCCCATGGTGTGGGGTTTGCAGGGTATCTTGGGTATCTTGCAGGGTGCTCTAGGGTATTTTGGGTTGGCACTTGGGTTGGTCCCCAGTCTTCTAGGGATGGAAAATGGGGGCTAGGTCTGACTAGTGAGGAGTTTGTCACCCAGGCCCCCTCCTCAGGTGTGAGGCTGCTCCTGACAGTGGGGGCTGAGGCTGCTGGGCATGCAGGGGCTGCGCTGGAGGGCTATGGAGCCACTGCTCAGGCCTCTGCTGCCGCTGCAGGGAAGCAGGGCAGGCACAGTCAGCACTGCCTCCCATCAGCATTGTCCTTCTCTGGGCTCCCCCAGCCAGTCACCCCTCTCCTCGGGCAGGGGTCTAACAGGCAGAGCAGATGTTTGCCTGCCCAGGGCCAGGTGAGAGGGCTCCACCCTCCTCTATAGCTCCCCCAGCCCTCCAGCAGCCTGTCTGGCTGCCACCTCAGCTTGCAGGGAGGTGCAGGGGATGGTACTGGCTGGAGCAGGGCACAAGGCACAAGAGCACACTTACGTGTTTTCACAGTGATGGATCTTCCCAGCGCAGGGCCAAACCTGGCACTGATCCTCCCTCTGCCATCCACCAGCTCTGTGAACCTGGGACAGGAGAGCCATGAGGGGACAGGGCACTGCAGGCTCTGTGTGCTGGGGCTCATGGCAGCTGCATAAAGCATTCACTGCTGGCATCAGGCTCTGTGCAAGTCCCACAGGGGAACTGCTCTCACGGTGAGGGGCCTGGCTGAGAACCCCAGTGGGTGGGCAAGAGGGTGCAGCAGGAGCATGGCTCAGCTCTGCACACACCTGGGCATGGAAGCTGGGAAAGGGATTGGCTCAGCCTAGTGCTTGGGCGAGTGGAAGAGCTGAGGCAGTGCCTACCTGGGGGCAGGCGAGGGCTCCTCAGCCGTGTCGTGATCTGCCAGCAGGCGGAGCTCCGGCAGGAAGGCT